AGGTTGGTGCGTCACTTGCGGGGATAGCGGGAGGGGTAAAAATATATCCTTATAAGGTAAATTTCTCGTATAATACCAACTGCAAAATAATAAAAAATTTTCAATTACAGAAATTAGATTTCTTTATATAATATTTAATTTTGAAATATATAAGTATATAAGACATTTATGTAACAAAATATATAAGTTTGATAAAAGACAAACATTTATTAATAATTTTAATAAGTGAGAATAATGAATAAAAAACGTGGCAACAGCGCATCAGTTTCGTAGATTGGTACTATTGATTACTATTAATTTTTAATGTGACATACGAAATGGATCGGCTAAGATATAAAGGGCGATTTATTAGTAAAAAACAGCGTGACAAACGTTTAAAAGCTATAGAACATGGAAAAAGTTTATTAAAACCAAAAAAGAAAGTGCAAGAAAGTGATAAAGAGTGCATAGTCGAAGGACTGCGTCTATGCGATTTAAAGGTTATTGCACGGTACCTTTATTGTATTTGTTGTCAGGAAATTCTGTCGTTAGAAAATATTGAACGCGAAGAAAAAAGAGGTCTTGCATCGATATTTTCTGTGAGGTGTCATAAGTGCTTACATGTTAATATTGTACCTACCGGAAAACCACATGAAGGACCATCAGGAAAACCTATTTTTGATGTAAACACCAAAGCAGTTTTAGGTATTGAATTAATTTGTTTACTATACCTATTAACATCGTAATGACTCTTATTGTTTCCATTTCTCTATATTTCAATATTAAATATGTTTTATTTCAATGTATTTATAGGCTCTATACATGCAGGACTTGGGTGTGAGTCAATTAATAAATTTTTACAAGTGATTGATGTTCCGGGAATGTCATCAAGGACTTTCAAAAAACATGAAAGAGAAATTGGTCCTGTGGTGGAAGAAATAGCAAAAGCAAGCTGTAAAGAAGCATGCAATTTAGAAAGATCTCTGACTTTAAAAAATTTGAATCATTTAGAAAAGCTTTTGTAAGTCAGAGGAGTTTTCCTTACAATTATATCTATTTAGTAGTCATACTTACAATTAGTACATATTTTTAATTGATCATAATATTCAAAATTTATCATAATTAATATATATTGTATTTTTTATTACTTTTATTGAGAAATAATTTATATTTTGATTGTAATTATTTAATAATTTTGTAATACAATTTTTGAAAAGAATAAAAAGAAAAGAATTAAATTTATATTATATAATGCTTTTACTATTAAAAAGTTAACTAATAAAAATTGTAAAGTATAATTAATTTACATATGTAAAAACTACTATAATAAATTTTTATATAAACTTTTGTCAACAATTGTGTAATATATATATATAAATAAGATATCGAGAAAATAATTATTTTTTACATATTGTTACAACACACTTCTATTATCCTGAATTTTTTTTATTGGGGTTACTATGACTTCAATTTTTTCTATTTAGGCCGGATAAGTGCGAGATAGATTTTTTAACTCCAGGATGGTCCCATTCCAATTCCTTCACTTTAATAGAAACTACGGACTCTTTATCATCGAACGCAGCGAATGTCAATCCTTCATCACTTCATCAGTTACCAAAAACAATTAATGAAAAATCTACTCAAGAAGACTTTCTAAAAAATTGCAATACTAATTATATTAATGTTAACGTTAACTGTAAAAATACTGATAACAACATCAGTGAGACAAACAACAATAATGATAATATTGTTCGAGTTTTTGCGGCATATGATATGGGATGGAGTCGAAGAAGTAATGGTCGTCAATACGATAGTTTGAATGGCTATGGTTCATTGATAGGTAAGGAATCAGGTCTAGTCTTGGATTTCGCCACAAAGAATCGGAAATGTCGTAGATGCGACATTGGACATGAACCATCTAATCATGATTGTCGGAAAAATTTCCAAGGATCAGCCAAGGCAATGGAGCCTGATGCAGCAGTTGATCTTTGTGTAAAAAGTTCTATTTTGAAAGAAAACAATATACAAGTTGGTGTTTTCATTGGCGATAACGATAGCTCCAGTATTTGTGCCGTTCAGAAACAAAGTACACATAATGTAGTAAAACAGTCAGATAAAAACCATACTGCAAAGGGTGTAAAAAATTTGTTGTATAAGATAGATAAAAATAAAGACCCCAATCGAGAAATGACATCGGAAGCAATTAAATATTTTCATCGATGTTTTACGTACGCTATGGCACAGCATCAAGGCAATACTGAAGATATGGCTAAAGCAATAAGAAACATACCTTATCATGCTTTCAATTACCATGAGAACTGCGGAGAATGGTGTGGATACGTAACTGATAAAGAAAATTACAACCATCGCACCGTTATTGGAGGTTTCACAAGCCCTGTTCTTTTTGAGGAGTTAAAAACCATTTTCAATAGTCTTGCAATTAATGCTGATAAATTTTCTGCTGGAGCTTCAAGTCAAGCAAATGAGAGCCTCAACGGAATTATGTCCAAAAAAGCTCCAAAGTCTCATTGTTACAGTTTAAGTGAATCCGCTGATTTTCGCTTTGCGAGTGCTGTATTGCAAAAAAATAAAGGTGAGCAATATGTAGCTGATGTTTTACATAGATGTAATATTAATCCAAGCTGTATACTTTTACAACGCATAAAGAAAGTGTCTAAACAAGCTCACATGAGATCTTTAAAAGCTAAAACACGACAATTTAAACAAAATCGCAGGAGTTTACAAAGACGACGATTACAGTTAAAAACTCGCAAAGAAAAATCTGAAGGACCTACATATGAAAGTCATATAGATTTATTAACTAAAACTTCGACATCCACTGTAATTGAGCCTCAATCATCGATTAACAATGAAAACACTAGTCACTGTAAAAATAAACAAATAATATATTTTGATCTAGAAACCTCTGGTTTTGCTTCGACATGTGATATTTTACAAATTGCAATGAAGTGCAATGAAGCTACATTTAATATGTACATTACACCAACTAAATGGATACCTGCAAAAGTGTCTGCAATTCACGGCTTGACAAACGAGCAAGGAGAATTGTACAAAGATGGAGTTAAAGTGAAGTCGTTTCCTTTACGAATTGTCGTGGACCAATTACTACAATATTTAAAAAATATTGGTAGAGAAAGTATATTAGTGGCACACAATTGCTATTTTGATGGACCACGTTTAATGAAAATAATTATGGAAGCTAATGTTGTTGATGAATTCAAAACAATTATTATTGGTTTTGTTGACACATTACGTTTATTTAAAAAAAAATTTCCAAACCGAAAATCAAAGGGACAATGTACATTACAAA